AAATCCATGACACCTCCGATCTTCTTGGCAACAGGCACCCACATTCTCACACAGAATGTCGTGCAATGGATCTATGAGAACGCAAAAGAAAAAAGTGCCAGAGTTTGCGCACCTAACGTCAGTCTGCACGTGAACATCACCCACGGCTCAAGAATGACGTACGCTCCCAAGATGTTGCATCCGATTCCTCCTGACCTTCCTTCCCGGGTTCTTTTTCGGCTCGACTGCTTTCAGTAGCCTCTGGACTTTGCCAGCGGCATTCAGCTGCCTGGACCGAGATGGGTAGGTTCGTTGTGTCAAGGAACTGAAAGTGGACTGTGGCCCTTGGCATATGACACGCAGTGAAAGCAAGATGCTGAAGCAGCTTCTGCGGTATCGCCTCGGGGTCGTGCAGGGCACCTTACGCAATCAGGTCTCAACAGCGCGCAGATGCAGAAGCATCATCGCACAGGAACCGAACAACGGGAAAAGTGATGAGTTCTTCCCAGGCTCCGAGCAGCATTCCCAAAACAACTCCTCGCGCCGCAGAGTCACCACCCAGAATTGCATTCACTGCCAATGCATGCTCCATAGGATACCTGGCATCAACATGATTTGCTGCCCGCGGCTCTCACAAATCAACCTGAATTGCATCAGGCAGTGCGAGGAATACCCGAAAGCTAGCTAAGATGCTTTGCATATCGCAGGAGCAGGTACAGAACTGCCGTCAGTCCAGGAATCATTGGAGACGCCTTCCTCGACTCATGGAAAGGAGATGGGTCGGAAAATCGGACCAGCTTTCTATTCACAAGAGCAAGACCTGATATGCCAGGTCGCCCATGGTCACCCCAGTACGGGCACTCGGCCGTCTTGCAGGGGTACGGCAACGACTTCACAAGGCCCTGCTTCGTCAGGGTGAAGCTGCGAATTGCCAAATCATCTCGCTCGACGACGTCCGTGGCCCACGCAGCCCCAACCTGCACTGGGTTGAGGAGACCCAATCATTACGGGCTGTTCCTGGTGCCAGCTTGAAACGTTTGAGGTTGGGATGTCCCGTCCTCTGCGACTTCTGCTACCTTCTCCTCGACTGCATCGATGACAGAGGTCACCAGCCTCCTTGCCGAGACGCGAGAAACGGTCGCCATCTCTCGGGAATGCTGCTTCTGCTTCGATCTGGTAACACACAGTGAGTCGCAGCACCAGATCATCCCGTCCTGCCCCGGAGCTGCATCCTGCTGACTATGCCCCGCATGAAGGACAACCTTTGGGTCATCGCAATGCGAACGAGCGAGACATCGGACCAAACCGCTCGATAACCAGAATGCCGCTGCGCTGCAACCAGAGGCCACCGGCCCTTAACCCTTCACGTCGACTCTGGCAAGCAACCGGAACACTTATGACTTATGCGTGTCCAGCAGCAGATCACTGCGAGCAGCCGTCTGGTTCCGAAGAAGACCATCTGCAAGCGTTGACTGTCGTTCGTTCCTTCTGTCTTGTATCTTGGGGGTCTGTTGGTGCTTCGGGAGAGCTGCAAGGAAGAGCTGCTGCATTTCAGGTCATCTGCGACCAAGACGTCGTAATGTGCGATACTCACCCATCCAGAATTCTTAGACCATTGACCCCTCTTCACCTGCTTGTATCATATACCCGTGCAGCTAGGGAAAGTTCTTAGACAATCATGAACGCACCGCGGCACGGAGAAAGGACCCATGGAGGTTTCTACCCAGCCAAGGAGACACGCCCAGACGGGAACGGGCGCTTTGTCTGCTGATGGAGATTCCAACTTGCATTGCCAAGCAACTGGCAACGGTGTTGTTTGTTGCGGCATGTGTGCACGCACAACCTTCAAAACAAAAGCAAAGCAATCCGAAATTGGGCGTTCCCCCTGTCGGGGTCCCCTCTGTTCCGAACAAGTATGTCGAAAATCCCACGCCTGTAAGGCGAGCCAGGAAGTGGCAAACAGCCAGCGAGGTTTCGGTCGCGTACTGGATGGAGGCGGCCTCCATTGCCTCGGCCACCAAACATAAGCTTTTGGACGAGCTGAGAAACGAAATGTCACTTCGCGATTCAAGTTTTCAACTATCGCAGGTCGGATACGCCGGGTTTCAAATCTCGCAACTCTGGAAGTCCGGCCAATATCCAAGCTGCTTAGCCTGATAACCCCGATTCTCACATCCACGCTCCCAATCAAAGAACTCGAGAGATGCACTGCTTGGGTGTTTGTGTCAGCATGGCATGGGAAGTGTTGACGGTGAATGCAGCACTTGCAGGACTCTCCGGATGGTGGGTGCTCCGGGTTCGGGTTCTAGAGTGCTGACTCAACAGCAGATGGCAGCCAACTTTAGGATGCGTCTTACGAGGAGCAAAGAAGTAACACGGAATACTCTTGCTGAAGATGCCCTCTGCTGACGTTTATGGCTGATGAGCCCTCGAGCCCGGGTGCCGCTTGCCACAGTGAGCTCTTGGGACACGACAGGCGGCGGCTCCACGCCTCTTCAGTTCGGCAAGCAATAGCTGGCCGTGAAAACTGCCCTGCCACGTTAGTTGCTGCATCGAACCGCTCGCTCGATCCGAACATGATCCAACATGCCAACATTGTGCGTGAAAACCGGGTGTTGGTAGCGTGCTCTCCGCTGAAAGAGCCTAACTTCAAAGATGCATGTCGAGCCAACCGAGCGTTTCGCCAGTCTGTTTCTTGTGGCTTGATGTAATTACAAAATCGTTTGTGTCCGGCTTTCTATCATTTCATAACTTCGGATAGGTCATAGTGCTGACTCACCATGCTTGTCATTGCTGTTTGCCTGTCGTTGCTGTTTCGGTGTCGGTTGAGCAGCAGCAGCGGCAGCAGCAGCAGCAGTAGCACAGGTCTTCTAGTCACCCCTCCCGATTATCCCTGACGGCCCCTGCCGCCCATTTGTAATGTTCCACCAAGCAGGCGAAAGTAGTTTGCAACCGCCATAGCAGGCCCTTTGAGTCTTGTGCTGCTCTGCTAGATGCACAACTCACCCCGTGTCCCAGAAAAAACGGTGAACCTGCTGTAAAA